GATACATTTCATACAATATACTCAGAATTTATATAATCAAACCATTATCCTTTAATTTATGTATTAAACTAAAAAAAAATGTAAAAAAGAAAGAAAAGTAAAATAAAAAAAGAAAAGTACCACGGAGGAGGAGATGACAATGAAAGTAAACATGAGGGGAGGGGAAAATCACTTTTCTCCTTTTGTAGGACTTTTGAACCCAGGGAGACTCTACCACCTCACTAAGACCCCGGAGTCATTTTATTTTTGAGACAAGAGTTTCACTGAAATGCTAAGGCTGAAAAAAAAAAAATTAATTAATTAATTAAATTGATGAGTTTGGCCTCCAACTTGGGATCCTGGTCTCAGTCTTCCCAGTCACTGGAATTATAGACTCATGCCACAAACTGCCAGGAAAAAAAAAAAAAATGTAAGGCAAGATGTTCCAGTGACTCAGGAAGCTGAGACAAGAGGATCCCAGGTTTGAAGGCCAACCTTAGTTACTAAAAGTGACACTGTCTCACTCAAATGGGCGCGGAGGTGGGGGCGGGGAGACCAAGGGTGTGCTTCAGTTGTAGAGCCCACTGGGTTAAATCTCCAGGATCCCCCTACAGAAACTGAAGTTAAGTCAGGTGCAGTGGTGCCTTGCTATAATCACAACTATTAGAAGGGTGAGGCAGGAGGATGACAAGTTGGAAGCCAGTCTCAGCAATTTAGAAGACCCTATTTCAGAAAAGAAATTAAAAGGACTGGAAATGTAGCACAGTGGTAAAACCCCTGACTCAATCCTCAGAACTGCACCTCCCTCAAAAAAAAAAAAAAACATAAAGAGGGGAAACCGTTACAGATAGATGATATAGTACATGCATAAAATACAGTAATTACAAATTAGTCATCATGGCTGCGGACGAGGACCTGGGTTCAATCCCCAGTACTGCCAAAACAAAAAACAAGAAACACACACCAACAGCAAAACTTCCTGTTCTCTCCTTATTCATTTTTTTGCCTGTCTAAAACTGCTCTTACATCAACAAAGTTAAATTTGCTGTTTTATATTTTTATATTTTAAAAATATGTATTTAAAAATTTATATTTTTAGCTTTTAGGGGAAATTGTCAAAATTGTTTGGTAACCCAGCTTCTCTAAGGTTAGTCATTACCTGTGGGATCAACATTATCAGTTTTTGCTTGTTCTTTTAAGAAGGGTCTTGCTACGTTGCCCTGGCTGACCTGAAACTTCTCTGGCTTCAATGATCCTCCCTCCTGAGTAGCTTGGACTATAGGTGCACTCTATAGATAAACAATCTTAAATTAGAATCTGAAGTTCCAGAAAAACTGTTAAATGAATATGAAGTACTTATGAATGAAGTATATACAGTATTTGGGTTTAAAGGTGAGGGGCTGGGGATGTAGCTCAGTGGTTCAGTGCTTGCTCAGCTAATATGAGGGCCTGAGTTCAATTCCCAGTACTACAAAAAGATTGATTGTAGATGAGGTTAGTTTAGTCTAACCCTTTGTCTAATACATACTGGTAAGTGATGAATGGGGTAAGATTCCCAAATAACTTCCCTCCCCTATAGTATGTATTTTTGTATTGTTTGAACTTCGCATTTATTCATTCATTCATTCATGGTACTGGGGATCGAACCTAGGTGTGCTTAACCACTGAGCCACATCCCCAGTCTTTAATTTTTATTTTATTTTTGTGGTGCTGAGGATTGAACTCAAGGGCTTGTGCATGCGAGGTAAGCACTCTACCAACTGAGCTATAGCCCCAGCCCTTAATTTTTATTTTGAGACAGGGTCTCACCAAGTTGCACAGGGCCTCACTCACCACTGGCCTCGAACTTGCAATACTCCTGTCTCAGCCTCCCAAGTTGCTAGTATTACAGGTGGACACCACCACACCCAGCTGAACTTTACTTTTGAATGGAATGGTTACAAAGCATGGTGACATCACAAGTTACAACAAATTTCAAAGACTGGAAAATTTTTCCTGGACTACATTTTAAAGCTTTCAACACATCTGCTGGGGCCTGGAAATCTTTGAGGTCCTTCTTGCAATGGAATTTCTGTGGCTTTTGTTATTGGTACTGGGGACTGAACCCAGGGTGCTCTACAAATGAGTTAATCTCCAGCCCTTTTTTCCTTTTTGTGAGGCAGGGTTTCTATGTTGCAGAAGCTGGCCTAGAATTTAAGAGTCTCCTGCCTCAGCCTCCAGAGTCCCAGAATTACTGTACGAGTCACCCACCATCATGGCATCCACAGCCCTTATTTTGGCACAGGGGCTGGCTAAATTGCCCAGGCTGGCCTAGAAATTGCAACCCTCCTGCCTCAGCCTTCAGAGGAATTACTAGCAAGTACCACTGGGCACATGGAATTGTAATTGTAATGGAATTTCACCTGCAAGTTTTAATTAAACCCCATTTTACCTATGGGATTCTGTTATGTGGGGTGCTAACCCTTACAAAGGAAACCTGATATAGACAACACAGCACAGCCCCTTTTCATCTCTTATCCAAAGAGTACAATACTAGGTTACTCTTTATCCATTTTGTTCAGACCAGTCAACAGGCCTCAAAACTAATAACTTTTACCAAGAAAACATAACAGAAATGTAAAAGTTAAACAACAAAAAGAAAAGGGAAGGAAAGAATGTGAAAATTAACTACCAATAGTGAAAGACATTTTTTTAATGTCATTTTTTAAAAAATGGAGACCCCACAGTCATCTGGTGCACACCTATAATCTCAGTAGCTCACGAGGCTGAGGCAGGAGAATCACAAGTTTAAAGTCAGCCTCAGCAATTTAGTGAGGCCCTAAGCATTTTATCGAGATTGTTTAAAAAAAATAAAAAGGGCTGGGAATGTGGCTCAGTGGTTAAGCCTCTGTGTTCAATAGCCAGTATTAAAAAACATGAAAAGGACAAGGCATGTAGCTTACTGGTAAACACCCCTGGTTCAATCCTCAGTACAAAAAAAAAAAAAAAAAAAGAAGTGAATAATTTGAGCCAGCCTATAATCTCAACTACCTGAAGAGTTGGCAGGAGGATTCCAAGTTTGAGGCATGGGCAAATTAGCAAAACTTTTTCTCAAAATAAAAAGGGTGTTGGGGATGCAGTTCAGTGCATGTGTGAGGCCCCAAATTCAATACCCTGTACAAGGGAGGGAGGGAGAGAATAGAAAACAGAGGGCAGGAAGGAGAATAATCAACAGAGTTGGAGAGAAATGGGAAGTGACTGCTAAAGATGAGGTTTTTTTTCTGATTTAAAAAAAAAAAAAAGAAAGAAGTCCTAAAACTAACTATTTTAGGTGATGGATGCACAACTCTGAATACACTAAAACCTGTTGAATTCAACTCTCTACCGTATTATATTAATTCAGGTTATTAGTGAATATATTCCAAAAAGTCACCACTTAAAAAAAAAACTCAAACATGCCAAATGTGACAATAGTGAAAACCATTGAGAGCAGATAATGGGTACATGCTTCTTAGCATTTTCTTTAGTTCTGAGGAGTCTGAAATGTTTTTCTTTTGGGGGGCTGGAAATTGAATCCAGGGATGTTTTAATCATTGAGCTACATCCCCAGTTGCTTTTGTTTTTTTGAGACACAGTCTTGTTAAGTTAACAAGGAGACTGGCCTTGAACTGTAATCCTCCAGCCTCAGCCTCCCAAGTAGCTGGGATTACAGGCGTGTGGCCACTCCCCTGACAACTTTTCATATTTTTAAGAAAGTTCAACACTTCTTAGTGCTAGGGATCAAATCCAGGACCTCAAGCATACCAAGTAAGCACGTGCTATACCTAGTTACACCGGTGGCTGGGAAGATAACATCAGAGATTTAACCCAAGAGTACCCCACCACTGAATACACTCCCAGCCCATTTTATTTTTTAATTTTAAGACTGGGTCCAAGTTGTCCAGCTGGTCTGTAACTTGCCATCCTCCACCCTTAGCCTCCCCAGTCACTGGTGATTATAGGAATGCACCACTACCCCTGGAGAACCTCCTCAATTCTTGATAGAGTTGTACTTAGGGACTAGAAATGTTCTCTTAACCTGAATGCATTAGAACATGGTAAATATAACTGTTTCTAAAACAAAAAAATAGTTCTATATCCACATTTGTTTTCTTAGGAAAATGATTTCAATCGGAGATCTCATACATCTTTTAAAAACTAATTTCTCACTAGACATGGTCACGTACACCTGAAATCCCAGGGACTTGGGAAGCTGAGACAGGAGAATTGCAAGTTCCAGGCCAGCCTGGACAACTCAGCAAGACCCTATCTCAAAATAAAAAAACTCCAGGGAGGCTGAGGCAGGAGGATCACAAGTTCAAAGCCAACCTCAGCAATTCAGCAAGGCCCTAAGCAACTATGGCTCAGTGGTTAAGTGACCCTGGGTTCAATCCCCACCTCCCCTCAAGGCTGGGGATGTTGCTTAGTGTTAGAGCACTCTTGGGCTCAATCATTAGAATCTCAAGCAAACAAACAAACAAAACCTAACTTCTTATATTTCATGGTTTTAGGGAGAATTTTCTGGGTTTTTTTGTTCTGCTTTTGTTGGTACAAGGGATTCAACCAAGGTCTTGATGCCATGTTAGACAAGTGCTCTATATCCCCAGCCTCTAATTTCTCACATTCTGATACCTTTTGGGAATAAAGACAAGTTGTTCCACTTAGGAACTCAATACCACAAGTCAAATGCTTTCACAAGTGAGGTTTTTGTTAAATGCTGCTATGGAAGATTAATTATTGGATTTTCCTTTTGTATAAGCCCTCAAGTCTTTTAGGAAACTATCCTACATTTTAGCTATGTTCAATGTCACATACATACATCTACAAACTTAAAAGCAGTCTAATTTAGGGAAATAGTTTTTAGAATATAAATAATTTGTCCAAGGTTGCAAACAGAGGAAATGATGCAACCTGCATCCCTTTTCTGAAGCATTATTTAGCAGACCGTCAAATTGGAAATCAGAAACAAGAGTTAAATTTATGGCCTAGAAAACATCTCTTACCTGTATGAGTTCGAACGTGCTGAACGTAATTGTTTTTTCTGTCTGAAAAATAGTTGCATTTACCACATGTGTATACTTTCCTTGGAAAATGGTTTCTTAAGTGTTTCCTCCAGTGATACTCGCTTACTGTTGTGTAAGTGCAAATGATGCACTTGTAGACTCGCTCGTTATCTCCAGCTCTTGTGTGGTGTTTCAGGTGCGCAGTATAGTGATCATATCTATTGGTATTGTAGCCACAGCGGTCACAGCGAATGGGGCCCTTAGAGAAATCTCCCTCTTCAGCAGTGGAAGAGCCAGATTCTCTGGCTTTGGCTTGCTTCTCTGCACTTTCTTCCACAAAAAACTTCTTGGCACTATGAACTCTGATATGATGCACAAATTGTTCTTCAGATTCTGCTTCATATTGGCATGGCTTACAGCGAAAGGGTTTGGTCTTCAAGTTCTTGCATTTGTCCTCTGCTCCAGGTGTTTCATTAGGAAGATCTTTATTTGAGCTGTAAATTTCTGGAGCAGCTGATGCCTCAAATACAGGCTGTGGTTCTACAACACTGGCTTCCAAACTTCTCAGTTCCATGTTTTCGAGTCCATTAGGTTCACCTTTTATTTCGGGAGATTCCTCAAGTCCTTCTCCATCACTATCTGAAAAGTTGTTATCCCCAACAGGCATCAATTCTGCCATCTGTCTTTCTTCACCAACCAGGTAATCACAGCAGCTGCCATTCACTTCCCCAGTTAAGGCCACGTTTGCTAGCATGATAAGCTGAGGAGCAGCCAGTTCAGCTTTGGAGAGGTCATGCAAGTCATACATGTCGTTGGGCAAGGCCATGCCAATGTTGCCACTGCCAGTGAACAGCCCTCCTCCTCCAGAAGACTGCCCCATCACCTGGGTAGCCATAACTGTATTCTGAATTAGGAACAACAACAACAAAAAAAGAACACAAGAGCAACAGTTTAAGCACAATGCTTAGGAGCCTAAAACCAAAGCATCATTCTAATTCTGCTCTTTTTTTGGGGGGGCAGGGGGGAGACATAGTACTGGGGGATTGAATCCTAGGGTGCTTTATCACACTGAGCTACATTCCCAGTGTGACTGGGTCCCATAAAGTTTTAATTTTATTATTTAATACTGTCCATTTGCTTTTTCTGAGACTGGATCCGGCTAAATTGCTTGGGTCCTCCCTAAATTTCGGAGGCTGGCCTGGAACTTGTAATCCTCCTGCCTCAGCCTCCCAAGTGGCCATGACCCCCAAAGTTCTAATTCTTCTTAACTGAAAACTACATAGTTCTCAATATAACCTCCAAAACTCAATGAGTTTTGATAACTTCTAAAAACAAACCTTAAAATAGTTTTAATTCCCAATCCTCTTACTTGAGTCACACACACAAACTTCCTCTACCCCTAAAGAAAATTCTGCCAATTGTTTAACATAATTCATTCATCAACTAGGTCTACCACTGACAAGCAAGTACACTTTTTTTTTCTGGTGGTGGTGGGGAAACCTACATTCATTTTTTAAAAATTATTTTTATTGTAGGTGGACACAATACCTTTATTTTGTTTATTTATTTTTATGTGGTGCTGAGGACCGAACCCAGTGCCCCAAGCGTGCCAAGCAAATGCTCTACCACTGAGGCACAACACCAGCCCCCCATACTCATTTTTAATGTTAATTAAAAACTGTTTAAGCTCACTGTTGGTGGCATATGCCTGTAAAACCAACTATTCAGGACTTGAGGCAAGAGAATCACAGGTATGACACCCTCTCAAAATAAAATGAAAAAGGGGTAGAAAGTAGTTCAGTGGTAGAGCACTTAGCCAACATGTGCAGTGCCCTATGTCTGATTCCCACTATAGGGGAAAAAATATATTTTTAAAAACCCAACACACTAGTATTTTCCTTCCAACTTTCCTCTACAATACTTCAATGGCCTGAATTAGAAAGCCAAGAAATTAACAAGCCATTCTGTGCATGTATAAGTACACAAGTCTGGAAGGAAGCCTATAATAACTGGTCAATTTAATTGAATTTCATGTGAACGCAACTAACTTCAAAAAGAAGAAAAAAAAAACTGCGAGACAGTACCACTTAGTCTCAATTTTTTGATGACTCCCCACATTTAAAAGCGGAAAAAAAGTATGGGCCTCTTTTCCTATGAAAAGGGAAGTTTGGCTTATTCGAAACTTCACAAATGAAGGTTAACTTTTTTTTTTTTTTCAAACCCCCTAATAAAACAATCACACAACTCAACGCCACAATCAGCAACTTTCTTCCATTGTGCTTGACTTGGCCTACTTGCCCAGTGGAAGCCATTACAAGATCACCTTCCTGAAAACAAGTTGGGTTTTTAAATGATCTTAACCAAGTTACTTTCCAGTCTAAAAGGTGCTAGTCTCCAGCCCGTGTCTTTCTGCAAATCAGAAAAAGCAAAGACACAGAACTAAATAATAAAGTTAAACCGAAACACAAAAAGCAATCCATTCCACCCAAGTGTATAAACCCGTTTAGTTATTTGCACCAACAAAAGTTGGACTCAAATGCCATCACAGAAAACGGAGGGCAAAAGCAGTTCCAAGGCTTAACAGCGCAAGCTATTCGGAAATTTAACCCAACATCGACCTTCCAGATTCCCCAACCCACCCTACCCACGACTCTTACAGGAATTTTAACATTTGTCAGGAAGACCTTTTGGGCACTGCCTGAAAGCCCAACGTGTTCCACGAAATTCCTATGTGCTGCTGCCACCGGCGCCTGCCTCGGCGGCGGCATTCCTGACTGAAATAGGCATTCGGCCATTTTCTCAAAATACCAAACACAAAGCAGCTCTCTGCAAACTCGGGAGCTCTCGCTTCCTCACCGCTCCGCCCGCTCCCTGCACACATTCGCCCACCAACTCACCGGGGTTGCCCCCACCGCTCTTCCTGAACCTCTTCCTCTGCTCCCCCAATTCAAACGGTGGAGGTGAGCAAACTCGGGGCTCCAATCCCCAACTGAGTCCTTCCCGAGAGAGACAGCCCCCTCCGCGGCCCACGGGCCCGAGTCCGGGAAAAGGGCGGAAAGTTACCGTGTGGCCGGCGCCCGAGCTCCGCCGACCGCCCGGCTCGCCCTCCGCGGAGGCTCCGCGGGCGCCCTCCGCAGGCGCGGACCCGAGAACGAGGGGGCCCCACGCGGGCCGCCCCCGCGCCCCGGAAGTTTGCTAACTTCACTCCCCCACGGCGCCCGGCGGGACAAGCGCCCCGGCCCTGCCAGCGCGGGCCGCCGGGCGCGCAGGGCCGCGTCTCGGGGCAGTCGGAGCGCAGAAATCGCTGTCCAGCCCGCTGGCGGCACCGCCCGAGCCCGGGGGCTGACTCAACCCGCCCCGCCGCACTCAACGGCGCCTTCCGGCGAAGCGACAGGCTGGGGGAGGGGGCCCAGAGGGCGGCGGGCCGGCGCGGAGCTGCGGCGGGACCCGGAGGCTGGAGATCAGGAGGAAGTTTCAGGACTAGGGCCCCGAGCAGCTCCGCTCTTGGCCTGAAAGTCTAGACTGGCGGGGCGTGCGGGCCCGCGCGGAAGCGGCGGCCTTCCTCAAGTGGGGAGGGGGTCCCAGCGACGTGCAGCTCTCCACCAACGCCCCCGGCCCAGCCCCGGGCCGCCGCCGTGTAACCCGATCCCGCTCGGCCGCCCGCCCCCGCCCGGCGCGGCGGCCGTCGCCGGAGCCACAGTATCTGCAAATCAGCCCTGGACAGCGCCTCGCTCCGCGTCCTTCCGCGCCCTCCCCCTCCCGCGGCCGCCGCTGCCGCCCGGCCCTCCCCCACCCCGGCCGAGCCCCCAGCCCCGCGCCGCGCTTACCGGTCTTCCTCGGAGAGGGGGAACTGGCGACCCGGCGTCGCCACCCCTCCGCCGACTACTTTTCTTTGTTGTTGGAGTTTTAGGGGAGGGGGGGAGGGGTGGAAAAAGTTGGGCGCTTGGGCTGTCGAGGCCCTTAAAGGCCAGGAGCGGGGCTGCAGAAAGTGCTCAGGCTGCCAGCCCTCGCCCAGCCGTCCGGGCTGCCGCCGGGGTCTGGGGCCAGGGGCCTCGGCGGCGCTTGGCCTGCTGCTGCGCCGCGAGCTCGCGGGAGCCGCACATTCCAACACAGGACGCTGTGCCGCGCACCAGCCCGCGCCGCCGCCGCCCGCCTGCGGAACACGCCCCCTCCGCCGCCAGCGCGCGCCCGCGGGACACGCCCCCTCTGCCGTTCGCGCGCGTGGCCGCTAGGCGCGCCCCGCCCCTCGGAGAAGGGCAGAGCTCCTGGCTTGGGTCGGGTGGCTAGGGGAGCGCCCAGGGGGGAGCCGCACCTAATCCACCAGGCCGCTCACTCCTGCCCTGAGGTCAGAAAAGGGGCGGGCCCCTCTCCCTTTCTCGATTTCTTTCATAAACAAACAACAAAAGTTACCCGGAGCCCTGGCGTGCTTGCATGAGAATAGAGCTGTTAAAAGAAAAATGTGCAGCCTTTGACCATTCTTTAGAACTATTGTCATCGGCCTCTCAAGTCGAAAGCGCTCGAAAATACCCTTCAGAATCTTTTTAACTCTACCCATCCTTACCTTAGCTAATTAAGCTTAGTTTTAAGCTTCTGGGGTAAAATGCCTTCCAAATTTCAGACTATAAGCGGGGACGGGGGGGAATGCGATCATTTTGTGAGTTACGACAAGAACTTGTTTCAGCGAGGACTCAGAACAGTGAGAATGAGGATTGAGGGGCACGTTCCTAGACGGGTCATGTAGCAGATCACTTCTGAGCCTGGAAAGCACGATTTGGGTGGAGGAATTACTCTCACGTTACAGAAGGTGGAGAGAGCAGTGAGGAACCAGAGGCTGCCTGGGACCGCGGTGTCCTGAGACTAACCTGACTTCCGCATCATGCAGCTAACGACGATCATGCCAAATGCCTGGCACAAAGTAATATTCTTTTAAGGAGAAATTTCGTATACCCCTTCCTTTCTTTTCTCACCTGAAATGCCTTTTTAGCCTGCCCCCCCCCCCCCCCCCCCAAAAGAAAAAAAAAAAAACGTGGAGAGGCTTTGTTTAAGGTTTTGGTTTTGGTTTTGGTAAGAATTTTGCTTTTTGGAAAGAGGCATTTGCGATACTAGGGATTCCTAGGCAAGTGCTCTATCACTAAACTAATCTTTTTGTTTAGTTTGGTTTTGAGATAGCTTCTCACAAAATTGCCCAGGCTGGCTTAAAACTTGAGGATCCCCTTGCCTCAGCCTCCTCAGTAGATGGGATTACAGGCCTACCCCACAACTCACACTTTAAAATGGTGGTGTTACATCATGCATGTTATTGAGAGGTTTGTTTTGTTGTTGGTTAGTTGATTGTTTTTCTGGTGTTTTTGCCCCATTCAAACTTTACTTCATGTATTCTTTGCTGAACTAAAATCTGACTTCAAGTTACATGGCTTTTTTAGTTGCTGTAGCCCAAGGTACAATTCTGGCCTCTACCAAGACTGTCAAGGAACTGAACTGTTTTCTTTGCATTCCATATCCTAAATTAAGGTAAAAATGAACACTTCCCCTTCTCGGCCCCTAAACATTTCTTTTTAAACTTACTAGATAAATGTCCTTGCTTTCCTCAGTCTGACCACTTATTGGAAATGTTCTATTAATTGCGAATTTATTCCCACATATTGTGATGCAAATAGAAGAATACCAATTGGGCAGCTGCATTCATTCAAAATTAGCAGAGGCCCTTGTTCAAGGGAGGGCATATTCAGAGTGACCCAAATTATAATGACATGAAGGCCACAGGTCACGTCCAAGGCCGAATTACAAATCAATAGGTTTACTTGGGAGAAGCTGGTGTTATGAAATTGAATTATTTTTTCTTTAATTTAAAAAAAAAATCTAACTTGAATTCTTAATTATTTTTCAAGAAGCTATATTCAATTTGCTGCATCCAAAATCTATGATATTCTGCAAGATAAAGTCTTTGAAATATGAATGAGTTCTCCTTTTTTTATATGGGTTCTTTCCTACATATTGAATTCATCTGTATTTTAAAAATTTAATTATCATATGTTCTTAATCATTTTTCTCTAGAGGTTTATTTCAAGAGTTTGGTAAAATATTGTTTTGAGCTTCCATGTGCTTTTTATTTCTAACCATGTTTCATTTTTTTCTATAGAAAAGAACTTAATTTTCCTGAATCCACATTAATGTTACATTGAAGTTCAATAATTTGCTGTAAATGTTATGTCTAACTCAAGTACTGATTAAAAATTAGGGTACAAGCCAGACACAGTGGCTGACATCTGTAATCCTAGTAATTGGGAGGCTGAGGCAGGAGGATTGCCAAGTTCCAGGCCAGCTTTAATAACTTAACCAGACACTATCTCAAAATAAAAAATAAAAAGGGCTGGGGATATAGCTTGGTGGGAGAGTATCCCTGGGTTCAATCCTTAGTATCAAAATATTTTGTGTTCTCTGTAACTTTGTTATGAAACTTTCAGTAGGGTACAAAAGGTTGTGATAAAATAGAAAGTGTGATGGACAGGGAATCAGGAATCTGCGTATTTCTTCCCTCCTTGCTTTGAGGAATCACTTATTTGAATTTTGTCTGCAAAATAAAGAGGTTGGACAAGTGATGTGTAAAATTCTCAGAAGCTTAAATACTTGTGGTGTTTTTTATTCTGCTTAAAATTTTGAAACTTATGCATGTATTTCCCATCACAATTAGGAAATTTTTTAAGTTCACATTACCTGGCATTCTTGGTTTCCTCTCTATAGTTATTTGATATCTCTGAAGACACATCAGCCAATGTGGAGAAGTATTGGCCTCAAGATTGATTATATCACCAAGCATGGTGGCACAAGCCTGTAATCCCAGCAACTCGGTAGGCTGAGCAAGAGCATCACAAGTTTAGGGTAAGACTGGGTAACTTAGTGAGACCCAGTCTCAAATGAAAGTTGAGAAGTGATATGAATGTGATTCAGTGGAAGAGTGCTTGTCTAGCACGTGTAAAGACTTGGGTTTAATCACTAGTAACACCCGAGGGGGGGATAAAAAGACTGAAGGTATCTTAAGACATATATTTAAGGCCTGGTTTGGTCTGGTTTAATGCAGCATCATCTACCCTTGATCCCAGTTGACTACTGACCTTTAGTTCTGTTCTGATAACTGGAGCACGGTCTCTTATCTACCCTGACATCAACAGCTCCAGGGAAGGAGGCAAACAAGGAACTTGGAGTCTGAGCTGGGCCTTTCCTGCCTGCTTCTGGAGCCCAAGTCACATTTGGAATTGCTCTCCTTATTGTCTTCCATTGGCCACAGCCTCTTTGAATCCAGGCTACCTCCTCTCAGATCCACTGCTCTCATTGCTGTTCCCCTTCTGAAAGACTGCGCAGTACCCTTCTTTCCCTGTTGCTCATTGCTTCCCTTCATCCATGTAAATACCGTCTTCTCAGTGGCCCCATGATTTAAAATTATAACCCTCTTCCCTTTACATCAATTTGATTGCCTTTCCCTACTTTGTGTTTTTCTCTAGCATTTAAACCTAACTAACATGCTAGGTATTTTGTTGTATTTTATTTTTTGTGGTGCTGGAGACCAAACTAGGGCCTCTCAGTCATGCTAGGTAAGTGCTGTATCACTGAAATACTCCCCTAGTCCCCTCCTCCCCACCCCCTATATATTTTTTTTGGTCCTGGAGATCAAACCCCAGGCCTCAAATATGCTAAACTAGGGGAATGACTGCCATAGAACTGCACCCCTGGCTCTGTTATTTTATTTGCTTACACTATTTATTGTTTTTCTTCCATCACTGGAATTTAAGCTCCAGAGGGCAGGCAATTTTGGCTTTATCTCCAGTGTCTATGACTTGTTAGTTGCCCAACAACTATGGCTACAGGATCCTAACTTGGTATGACAGTCTTTCCAAATGAAGACTCTCCTTACCAATGTTGACACTCCCAATTGTTTCTTGAATGCATAAATAAATTTTCCTGATCCCTATGCTCTTCCTCCTGTCACGTTTTGAATTGTTCTCCTTATTGTCCTCCATTCAGCCAGGCTGCTCTCCACTCAGATCCACTGTTCTGATTGCTGCTTGACCGTCTTCTGTGTGCCTTGTTCCTAGCACACTCCTAGTGGTACACATCAATCTCTGGTTGGATTTTCTTTGCTGGATATTAACAGTCTGTTTGGACCTTAGGTGTCCCTCTATTTTCTCTTTTTGTTTGTTTTTGGTATGGGAATCGGACCTAGGGGTGCTTTACCACTGAAAGACATTTTAGAGACAGTCTAGGCTCTTGTTTTATAGATGAAAGGAGACAGGCTTGCAAGCATTCAGCTTGTCCTGGTTTATGGGAGTGGTTAAAGCAAAATCAGGAGTAGGATACAAGCTCATATTTACAACCAATCCAGTACCCTGGCCCTATCCTACCCCCTCCCCATTGAACCCAGGGGCACTTAAGCACTGAGCCAGCCCTTTTTATTTTTTATTCTGAGTCAGGATCTCACTAAATTGCTGAGGCTGGTTTCAAACTTGTGACCCTCCTGCCTCAGCCTTTCAAGTCACTGGGATTTCAGGTGTGTACTACCATGCCCAGCTCACATCTCCTGTACTTTCTCCAGTGTTCCCTTTGCTCTACCCTGACTGCTGCAACCCCATTCCAGAAATTAGCTTTTATTCCTATGAGCCCTATGAGTCACTTTGTTCAATGGCTTTAAAGAAAGTATATTTGGAGTTAAGGGACTCTTCTTCTGTCTATTAGAGATTGATAACAGGGCCTTTGGAAGAGCCAAACCACTGAGCTACATCACTATATAATTTTTTTTAAAGTGATTGAACCTAGGAATGCTTATCTACTGAGGCACATCCCCAGCCCTTTCTTTTTATTTTTTATTTTAAAACAGGGTCTCACCAAATTGCTTAGAGACTCACTAAATTGCTGAGGCTAGCTTTGAACTTGTGATCATTCTTCCTCAGACTGGGAGTCACTGGGATTACAGGCTTGCACCACCACACCTGGCTTCTTTACTTTTGTTCTTATTCTTTTTTGTTGTTGTTGTTTCTGTACTAGAGATTCAACCTAGGGCCTAGTGCATACTA